AATAGGACCAATTCGTTACTTCAGAAATATTCCAGAAATGAAGGATATTGTCATAACTGATCCACAAATATTGCTTGATTTAGTCAATGAGCTAATACTGTGCACTTTCACCTTCAAGAATATAAGAACAATGGGGAGTAGAAGTGAAGCAGAAAGATTCCATTCATCTGGTCGTTTCAAGAAGCAAAGCTTGCAAAAATGTGATATAATAAAGAAAGGCTTACTAACAGCAGATCAAGTTATATCTATCCTGATACATTTGAGTATAATAGCACCAGTTGGTATCAATAGTGAAGGAGAGGAAGAATATTTCCTTCCTTGTGTCCTAGTCCATGCTCCAGTATCTGTGCTTGCTAGTACTGTTGCTCCTGGTTATTCTCCATTATTAATCACATTCAAGTGTGGATACACTCCTAGAGGAGTCTTTAGTTGCCTCATTTCTTCTATTCTGTGCTCCAGAGAAGGTCAGTGGGTATTAGCTTCTGATAAAATATACCGCAATCAAGTTATGTTTCATCTCACTGAGTACGGTCACTATGTTCTACTGAAGAACTGCATCAAATATTTACAAGTTACCATTACAGTGTGTCATGGGTCTACTATTTCTGATGTTCCTTTTCCTAAAATTCAAGAGTTCCTTTCCCAGCATCTGTTAATCGTTATAACCAAGTTGAGATATTCTGCCCATAAAGTAGGTCATTCATTTGGTTTCCATTGTACACTAGAGGATCATGCTACAAGTGATCCTCATATAGCCCAATGTATCATTAGTATACAGAATCCACACATAAAGTGTACAATTGGTCCTTCTCCAATGACAGCATCCCTCACTTTAGAGCAAGCTATCTGGTTCAAAGGTAAGTGAATGCAATGCACTATTACTTCTCCAATAGATTATTCTATAGTCTCGTCGAAGGGGCAGGACAAGACTAATTATTCTAATACATTAAGAACAAGCTTTGGTAAGTCATATGCACATGTACATGCAGTTCGCTAGTGTATTCTATAGATATAACACATCTCTCTATGGTACTTCGGTTCCTAACTAAAGAGCATTATGATGCTACTACTTGGCAACAGTTAGGACTAGCACTGGGAATCTATCAGCCAACACTTAACAAGATTGAGAGTGATGCCAGAGGTAAAACAGAAGACTGTTTAAGAGTATGTCTGTCATCTTGGTTACGTCAAGAAGATAATGTGAAAGAGAGTGGAATACCCAATTGGTATACTTTAGCAAAAGCACTTGATTCTATTGGACAACGTAGTATTGCTGATCTAGCTTATGTCAAGCATTAACTTATACACACATGAACCAAAAACTATAACTTAAGCAAACACACACACACAAACTACTTGCAACAGATATATTATAGTGCATGTACGTTTTTCTAAAAAAAAGAAAGTTTGATTATATTTATTTACAATAAATAATACTGTACCTGGTGGACCTTATAAAATAGACACTAAATGTACATTATTCTGTTATAATATAAATGATTAATCAGCATTGCAATACGTACATGTACATAGAATCATAAATGTTTTGAATAAGTGAGACCTAGATAGGCAAATAATTTTCTCAATAAGTGTAAATTACATTTAAATATTCATACATGCACATACATGCAGTAAACTAATGAATATATTTACATTCAAACACAACAATACGCCCCTTTTCAACTATGAAGGACTTCAGGGTTCGACTTTTTCAAAGCAAGTCTACAGAAATAATAAAATATATTCTGATGTCACTAATATTTAGCATCCTCATGGTAATGATAATCAATGCCATCATTAATCTCAAATTGAGTTCAATTCTACCTCTGACATTATTGCTAATTTTAGTTTTTTTTTCCTTTGGCATCATAAACTGGTTAGTTCAAAAGATTAGAAAAAAATTTAACTACCAATATGTGGAGGACTATGATGTGAATTATATGGACAAATTACAAGACAAGGCTAAAGTGAAGGTACAGATTATATCCTGCATGACAGTAGGTCCACCAACAGTTGGTAAGACTACACTAAGAGAACAGCTACTAACTGATCAATGTAACAATGAACCAAGTCAACAACATAAGAGACCACTTAGTACACAAGTTGCAGAAAGAAAAAAAATATTTCGACTTGCGGCTAATAACAACAAATGGAACCATATCACAAGTGATGAGGAACTCACAGGGTTTGTCAAAGGACTTGATAGGAATAGGAATACTAAGTTTGATATACTTACAATTATAAGTGCCACAACTCTAACATTGGTCATCTATTCATACTTTTATACCTTCTTCCACAGTCAGGATACAATGATAGTAGAGGCTATTGCAAGCTTTATTATAATAATGTATCATTTTTCTCCACGTATGTACATGTACATGTACAAAAACATAGTCAGCAAATCTGTAATTAATGCTGTTAGGAACAAAACATTCGAACAGATTCCACCAGTTTCTTCTGACAATTTTATAATTCATTTCAAAGACACTGGAGGCCAGCCAGAATTTCATGAAGTCATACCAGCACTAGTATCACAATCAACCTTATACCTTATAATGTTTAACCTTAATGAAGACCTTGAGAAGGAGTACAGTGTGACTTATAAAGCAAGTGAAGAAGATACAAGTTCTGGATATGAGAGCAGTTTTACTGTCAAAGAAACTATACTACAAATATTAGGAAGCATACAGTCTCTTCATAATCATGCTACAGAACCAGGCATTACTTCAAATGCTCTTATCATTGGAACACATAAAGATAAGATAAAGGGTACAAGACAACTACGACAGATACAACAAGAATTAGAGAAAGAAATAAAAGGAACTGACTGGTACACAAGTGATGCAATAGCAACTACACCTAATGGTGACCTTGTACTACCAATTAATACATATAATCATAATGATGTTGAGATAGTTAAAGATATGATCAAACAGTCTACAGCTACTAGAACCTACATGGTGCCAGTAACATTTGTTGCACTGTATTTTACTATTGAGAAATTAAACAAACCAGTCATGTCACTCAATAAATTTAAAAAACATGCACATGACTGCAATATTACAAATAAAATTGAATTGAACCGAGTCTGCCAATATCTTCAAGACACAATGGGTGCTATTCGATACTTCAAAAATATTCCAGAGATGAAGGATATTATCATAACTGATCCACAAATATTATTTGATTTAGTCAATGAGTTGATACTGTGCACCTTTACCTTCAAGAATATAAGAACAATGAGCAGTAGAAGTCAAGCAGAAAGATTCCGTTCATCTGGTCGTTTCACAAAGCAAAGCCTACAAGAGTGTGATATAGTAAAGAAAGGCTTCCTAACAGCAGATCAAGTTATACCTATTCTGATACATTTGAGTATAATAGCACCAGTTGGTATCAATAGTAAAGGCTATAAAGAATATTTCCTTCCTTGTGTCCTCTTTCATGCTCCAGTATCAGTACCTGCTAGTATGCTAACTGTTGCTACTGGTTATTCTCCATTATTAGTCACATTCAAGTGTGGATACACTCCTAGAGGAGTCTTTAGTTGTCTTATTTCTTCTATTCTGTGCTCTGAAGGTCAGTGGGTATTAGCTTCTGATAAAATATACCGCAATCAAGTTATGTTTCATCTCACTGAGTGTGGTCACTATGTTCTACTGAAGAACTGCATCAAATATTTACAAGTTACTATTACAGTGTGTCATGGCTCTACTATTTCTGATGTTCCTTTTCCTGAAATTCAAAAGTTTCTTTCACAGCATTTGTCAATTGTTATAACCAAGTTGAGATATTCTGCCAGTAAAGTAGGTCATTCATTTGGTTTCTATTGTACATTAGAGGATCATGCTACAAGTGATCCTCATATAGCCCAGTGTATCAGTAATGTGCAGAATCCACATATAAAGTGTAGTGACAGTCCTTCTCCAATGACAGCATCACTGACTCCAGAGCAAGCCATCTGGTTCAAAGGTAAGTGAATGCAATGCACATTTAAAAGTTTATTTTTCTCCAATAGATGATTCTAACACATTAAGAACAACCTTTGGTAAGTAATACATACATGTACATGCATAAGTAATTACCTATTGTATTTTATAGATATAACGCATCTCTCTATGGTTATTCAGTTTCTAAATAAAGAGCATTATGATGTAGCTACTTGGCAACAGTTAGGACTAGCACTGGGAATCTATCAACCAACACTTAACAAGATTGAGAGTGATGCCAGAGGTAAAACAGAAGACTGCTTAAGAGAATGTCTGTCATCTTGGTTACGTCAAGAAGATAGTGTGAAAGAGAGTGGAATACCCAATTGGTATACTTTAGCAAAAGCACTTGATTCTATTGGACAACACAGTATTGCTGATCTAGCTTATGTTAAGCATTAACTTATACACACATGAACCAAAAACTATGCATTACTAAGCACACACACAAACTAGCTGCAACAGACATACCATATAGTACATTTATGTTTTGCTTTAAAAAAAGTTTGATTATATTTATTTACAATAAATAATACTGTACCTGCATGGTGGACCCTATAAATAAAGACTGCATTATTCTGTTATAATTATAAATACATGGTATAACAAGGGCATTACTAGATGAAAGAAAGCAACTTTATCTGTTGCTAGAAGAAGAAATAGAGCTCTAGACTGCTCAAACAAAAAGATAATTTTTTTACAAATCAATTAAACTGTGTGGACAGAATGACAGAATGACAACCCAACTGCTTAGTACCCGCCTACACAAGTCCAATAAGGTTTTGAGCAAGTTAAACCTACAGTAGTAGGTGCATAATTTTTCAAAGTTCAAACTACATGTACTTTTAACACATATTCATACATGTACATGTACATGTAGCAAGACGATGAATATATTTACATTCAAACACAACAATACACCCCCTTTTCCATAAGACTTAAACTATGAAGGACTTCTGGATTCGACTTTTCCAAAGCAAGTTGAAAAAAATAACAGTGCTCCTAATGATTAGCAATCTTGTGGCAACATTATTAAATGTCAGCTTTAAGCTTGAATGGGGGATCTTTAGGACAATTGTAGTATTGATATTATTGGTAAATATAGTAGCTATTATCAATACTAAAATAGTGGAAAAGATTGCCAGAAAAAAATTTAACTACCAATATGTGGAGGACTATGATGTGAATTATATGGACAAATTACAAGACAAGGCTCAAGTGAAGGTACAGATTATATCCTGTATGACAGTAGGTCCACCAACAGTTGGTAAGACTACACTAAGAGAACAGCTAGTAACTGATCAATGTAGCAATGAGCCAAGTCAACAACATAATAGACCACTTAGTACACAAGTTGCAGATAAAATAAAGAAATTTCGACTTACAGCTAATAACAACAAATGGAGCCACATGACAAGTGATGAGGAACTCACAGGGTTTGTCAAAGGGCTTGATAGGAATAATAAATCGAATACTATTATAATTACATGTGCAGTGATATCTCTAACATTGGCCATGGTATACTTATATACAGGCTCCTACAACATTCAGGACATTATATTTCTAATGATTTATTGGACTTTAATGTTAGTTATTTCTATTACAAGTGATATTTCACTACGTTTATACAAAAACATAGCCAGTAAATCTGTAATTAATGCTGTTATGAATGAAAACTTCAAACAGATACCACCAGTTTATTCTGATACTTTGATTATTCATTTTAGAGACAGTGGAGGCCAGCTGGAATTTCATGAAGTCATACCAGCACTAATGCCCCAATCAACCTTATACCTTATAATGTTTAACCTTAATGAAGACCTTGAGAAACAATACGATGTAACTTATAAAGCAAGTGAAGAAGATACAAGCACTGGATATGAGAGCAGTTTTACTGTCAAAGGAACTATACTACAAATATTAGCAAGTATAGAGTCTCTTTATAACCATACAGAACCAGGAATGACTTCTTTTATCATTGGAACACATAAAGATAAGCTACAAGGTGCAGGCCAACTTGATAAGATACAACGAGAATTAGAGAAAGAAATAAAAGGAACTGACTGGTACACAAGTGATGCAATAGCAACTACACCTAATGGTGACCTTGTACTACCAATTAATACATATAATCATAATGATGTTGAGATAGTTAAAGATATGATCAAACAGTCTACAGCTACTAGAACCTACATGGTGCCAGTAACATTTGTTGCACTGTATTTTACTATTGAGAAATTAAACAAACCAGTCATGTCACTCAATAAATTTAAAAAACATGCACATGACTGCAATATTACAAATAAAATTGAATTGAACCGAGTCTGCCAATATCTTCAAGACACAATGGGTGCTATTCGATACTTCAAAAATATTCCAGAAATGAAGGATATTATCATAACTGATCCACAAATATTATTTGATTTAGTCAATGAGTTGATACTGTGCACCTTCAACTTCAAGAATAAAAGAACAATGGGCAGTAGAGGTGAAGCAGAAAGATTCCGTTCATCTGGTCGTTTCAAGAAGCAAAGCTTGCAAAAATGTGATATAATAAAGAAAGGCTTACTAACAGCAGATCAAGTTATACCTATCCTGATACATTTGAGTATAATAGCACCAGTTGGTATCAATAGTAAAGGCTATGAAGAATATTTCCTTCCTTGTGTCCTAGTCCATGCTCCAGTATCTGTACCTGCTAGTATGCTAACTGTTGCTCCTGGTTATTCTCCATTATTAGTCACATTCAAGTGTGGCTACACTCCTAGAGGAGTCTTTAGTTGTCTTATTTCTTCTATTCTGTGCTCTGAAGGTCAGTGGGTATTAGCTTCTGATCAAATATATCGCAATCAAGTTAAGTTTCATCTCACTGAGCATGGTCATTATGTTCTACTCAAGAACTGCATCAAATATTTACAAGTTACCATTACAGTGTGTCGTGGCTCTACTATTTCTGATGTTCCTTTTCCCGAAATTCGAGGATTCCTTTCACAGCATTTGTCAATTGTTATAACCAAGTTGAGATATTCTACCAGTAAAGTAGGCCATTCATTTGGTTTCTATTGTACACTAGAGGATCATGCTACAAGTGATCCTCATATAGCCCAGTGCATAAGTAATGTACAGAATCCACACATAAAGTGTAGTGTCAGTCCTTCTCCAATGACAGCATCACTCACTCCAGAGCAAGCCATCTGGTTCAAAGGTAAGTGAATGTAATATGTACATTTAAAAGTTTATTTTTCTCCAATAGATGATTATAATTCTAAAAGAACAACCTTTGGTAAGTAATATGTACATCTACATGTAAATGTATGTACATGAAGTTCACTGGTGTATTTTATAGATATAACACATCTCTCTATGGTACTTCAGTTTCTAACTGATAATCATTATGATGCTACTGCTTGGCGAAGGTTAGGACTAGCACTGGGAATCTATCAACTAACACTTAACAAGATGAGAGTGATG